GTTATTTCCATAGATATACTGACTGAATTAATGAGAAAAGAAAATATAATAGTGTTTTCACACAGAATAACTAGAAATCTTCTCAATATTGTAGTGAGAATTTGTTTCCCATCATACGTGCTGGTTCGAAACTGAAAAATGAATAGCAAAATCATGTTTTATAACACACATTTCTCATTGATTCGTGCTGAAAAAAACCCCTCAATTTCTAGTAGTGGCGATTTGATGCAAACCACATTAACAACTTCCAAAAAAGAGCAACACCTCAGACTGTGTGATGTAGACAACCTAGTCTTATGTAAGCTATTTACTGCCTTAATGTCAATAAGGGTAATAATTAAAAAAATTGAATTGTCATTTTTAAGCGTAACATGACATTGAAAAGAAAAATGTATCACATAGATAAATGAAATATATATAAAATTATAAGAGAATGTTGAAGATTGATCGTTGTCAACGCCCAACAAAAAGAGATTCATATTGGACTTTGCAGAGTAGCAAATGAGTGTCTTTTGGAATATATGGATGTTTAACCATGTGGTATGGTATTGGTGGGGAAAGCAAAGCAAAAAGGGTACGTACAAGTAAAGCTGGATTCTTCATGGTTTAGGTTCCTTCATCATCTCCACATAATTAATTGATATCTAGTCCTTTTGGTCCACACATGAGACTAGTACTAGTGGAACTTAGCTTCATCTACCATTAATGTCTATCGTTATTATTGACAGATTTAGAATTTTCATAAAGTTTAAAAATAAAAATATAGTGCATAGAATTTAAACCTAGGTGAGTTTTGAATTCTCTAAAATACTGAATCAACATCTAGTCTTGCGTTTAGAAATTCAAAATCTTTATGTATACGTAAAGAAATAAATTATTGTACATATACAGTATAGTGTTTGGCCTGCTGAATTAATTGAACTTTTGGTCCACACAAGAGAGTAGTGGAGGTTGGCTTTAGTTACCATTATCAACAACTACTACTATAGCATCTAACTTTCACATAAAAAAACGATTTATCTGCCAGGAATTGAAGGGAGCCTTATCTTAATGATGTCTTTTTTATTTTTTATTTTTATAAGGTTAAACTTTAAAGTAAAAGTCACCGATGTCAATAACCTGGCAATTTATTAAAAGCAATGAGACTATTTCCAAATAGATATCACTCTCATGTGTTTGATAAAAAAAGAAAAGAAGATATGACTCAAAATTGTATTACATATTGATTTTTCATATGGCGGTTGATATGGTTTAACATCTGATTGAATTGAATTCGCACTACGAGTGAAAAGTTTCATTTTGAATTAAAACCCTCCCTATTGGACAATTTCTTTCTAAAAACTCGAACCAAAGATATATATATCTAAGTAAGGATGAGAGGCTTTGTACTTGTTGTCCATCGCAACGTTTGATGGTGCAATTAGTACTCCAACAAAATAGATAGTTAGCGACAACAATTTTTTAGGGACAATTGATAGAGATATTTAATGTCATTACAATTTGCATCTGGAATTACTAAAGTCTTTAACAACACTTATTTATAATGTTAGTTATAAATACTCATATTTATTATATATAAAATATAGCGATAATTATATTATCATGCATGGTAGTGATTAGTGAATATAGAGACTTATATATAAAGCTCCTTTATAAATACTATGTTGTGCCTTTTGCACTGATTAAGATTACTTTTTCTAGCTATTGGCAAGTCCTCTAATTAATTCATTTTCACCTCATTTACTGCAGATAACTTTTAGAAAATATTAAGGTAAAGTTTAACTAGTCCCTTTTGCTTATACTTATTCAAGTTAAGATTTTTAATTTATTACTATTAATAAAAAATTGTTAGATATTCTGTCTAGTGGTATAAATTAATGAAAAGAAAAGGAGATATGTGACATTGGACTAAAGCATATATTCTTAGTAAAAGTAGTGAGTTTTACCTACTTTAGACTAAAGCTAGCATATATTCTTAGTAAAATGATAATTCGAAATTTCCTTATGACATACAAATGGAACACAAGTATAAAACGAATAATTGGGAAACTCTGTAGATTAAAAATGTAAACATCAAGTTTCCAGCTGCGATTCAACAAGAATTTCTGGCATTAATTAAGTATTTGACTTCCAAAACTATGTTACAGAAAAAAAATAGTGAATATCCCAATTGACAATTGCATGAATTTCATCATAGCAAATAATTTGTATTGATATTCTTAGGATATGAAGTTCATTTTGGAACGTTTAATCATCATTACAAATATTTTTCCATTTATCACAAATATAATATCCTTTCGTTCTATTTTATTTTATATGAATTCTTTCTTTTTTCGGCTAAAAAGAATAACACTATTTTTTTATTTTTTATATATATAAATATATATAGATTATAGACACTTTGGTTTTAACAAGTTTATTTCAGCCTTCAATTGACGTAACATGGTTGAAAATCATAATATTCTAAGAGTAATTTCAATATATTTTATTGTTATATATTTAGCTCGCGTATCAGAAGTTTTCCTTTTCTTGAACTCTTTGTTCAATCAAATAAATAAAATTTATGGAGTATATTTTATGTATAACATTTAAAATGCAAACTCTACTCATTTTTCATATCATGGTGCTTTGAACTGTCACAATTCAAATTTTAGTTTTTTCATGGAATTTGAATTGCGACATTCAATACACCTAAATGTTCGATTTTTTATAAAAATTCATGGAGTTTTTCTATACTTTAGCATTCAGATTTTATTTCTGCATTAGAAATGATGAAACATTGAAAAAAAAAAACTAAAGCTTGATTAGCAATCCAAAAGATGACTATTGAGCTGAGGAATCTTTACACAAATAGCCCGTCAAATTCATTTCTTACTTTTTTTAGTTGATATACATATATTATACTTTTTCTGTTCTTTTTTAGTTGTCATGTTGCGCCTTTTCAGAATCAATTTGATTAATTTTCAAAACTAAATTAGATTACATTAATTCAATATTTTAAACCAAAAATTTAGATATTTAAAAACTATACAAAAGTACTACACATTGCAACTTTTTTCATATATATGATATAAAAATACATCTAAAAATATTAGTCAAAATTCAAATTGTTTGACTCTAAAAAAAAAAACTATTTACAATTAAAAAAGAACGGAGGGAGTATGAAAAATGGTTCAATGGGGATACATTATAAATTAGTTATATATTTTGATTTGATTATTTGAAATGATGTAATAGTTCAGATGGGCTAGTTTATTAACATGTCCAGCCCATTTATAGACAAAAAAAAATAGTTTTTTTGTCGTGTTACTAGCAAGTGTTGGTTAGTGTTTTGGGCTGTATTGGAGTTAGGTGCAATGTGGAGCTTCTACGCGCCAAATAGTAACCCCACTTCAACGGTGTTCTCTCTTAGGCGCCAATTCCCCATTTAATTTCTTCTTCTTTTTTATATACATTGACTCTATGAAAGATTTAACTTTTTTTTTTGTTTAGATAAAATATAATAAATTGAAAAATTAGATTTTAATTAGTTATCATGTTTAAACTTACATAAGTCATCCTAAAATAGCATGTTAATCACCATTAACACAACTCCATTTAGCATATCCTATGCCCTTGTTTATAAATATAAGAGATGAGGATGTTGAGATTGATGTGTGACATATTAGAAGAGATAAGATTAGGAATGAGGATATTCATGATAAGGTAAGAGTAATCTCGATAGATGACAAAATGCGGTAAACGAGGTTGAGATGTTTGGGAATATGCAAAAGAGATGCATGGATGATTTAAAGAAAGGTAGAGGCAGGTCGAAGAAGAATTAGAGAGAGATGGTTAGATAGGACATGAGCTTACCGTGGACATGATCTTTGAATAGGAAGTTATGGAGGATACATATTAGCACATAAGATTCTTTAGATAGTTGAGCCTTGTTTCACCTGTTCTTCTATACTATTAGTCATATTATTAGTCGTGGTATTACTCGTATAGTCTCTTGTCCTTGGAGTTTGGTTATTAATTATCTATCATTTTTTTTACAGTTCTATTCCTTAAATTTAATCTTATTATAACTATTGTTTAGGATAATTTACTAGGTTATCTATAGTGTTTAGACACGACTTTCTCCATTTTCATATCTCTTTTCTCTATACTACTTTGTTCGATCTCTATTTTCCTTAAGGTGAGTGTTTATTGGAAACAACCTCTCTACCTCTAATGATTAATAAGGTCGACATACATTTTACCCTCTTCGGACCACACTTTTATGGGATTATACTAGATATGTTGTTGTTGTTTACAAAAACAATACTACTCCCTCCGTTCATTTTTAGTTGTCACATTACGCTTTTTGAAAGTCAATTTAACTAACTTTCAAAGCTAAATTAGATTACATTAATTTGACATTTTAAAATAAAAATAGATATTCAAAAACTATATGAAAAGTTGAAATTTTTTCATATCAATATGGTAAAAAAAATATTTTAAAATATTAATCAAAATTTATATTGTTTAACTGTCAAAAAAAGAAATTATGACAACTAAAAAGTAACAAAGGGAGAGTATAACTTTTCCACTCTCAATCTTGTTACCATTAGTTATGGATTGTGCGGGCAAGGGGGACGACAGGGAGGCCGGCTCCGCATGACCCCAACTCGTTTAACCTCTGTATTTATCTTGTTACTGACTTTGGAAGCGGAACACAAACTTATTTATGCTATTTTGGATTCTTATTGAGCGTAGCCAGATATGGGTCCGGACGACCCAAAAGCTTAGTACTATTTTGGGAGTTTAATCACAAAATCATCAAATAATTTTCCAACTTTTTAAGACTAATGATGAGTTGAGTTGTGTTTAAATTTCATAATTAATTCTTCTTTAAATTACCATGTAAGTACTTGTGCTTCCCTCCATATACATATCCGAACCTTTTTGTTTCTTTCTTCCTTTCCTTTCCCTCGTTTTCTCCCCTTTCTCTCTCTCCCCGCTGAACTCATATCTCATCTTCTTCCCCTTTTCCTCTGAAGAAACCCCTCAAAACCCAAGAATTTTAGCCAAAATGGGTTTCCAATTCAATTGATTCTTGAATTTCGTTTTCCCTCTTCTTCTTCAATTGAAATTAAGAAAAAATTGGGAATTTTCTCAGCTGGGTGTGCTGGGAAAGAAGTTTAGTAAGATCATGCAGCCTAATCAACAACAGCCTTCGAAGCGTCAGCTCCCATTTACGTCAAGTAAACCGCCGTTAGGTGATTACCATCGGTTATCTACTGACCCACTTCAACCTTCTTCTCAAGAGCCTGAAGGGATCGTTGTAAAGTCTACTGTGAGTGTTCTGATTTTTCCACTCTACTATGGGTCTTTTTGTGATGCAGAATTTTGTAATTTGAGTGAATTGAACAAATTCTTGGAACATCTAATCTGCTGTATAATTTTTCAATAGCGAAAGAGAGCTGTATTGAGTTGAAATTTCGATGACGAACTATGTGGTTGTGTTGTTTAGGTCTCTAATTGGGTTTGGCTTGAATTTTGGTTGTACTAGTGTGGAAATTTTCACTATTGTATACATCTGTAATAGGGGAATTTGGTGGAAGTTCTTTCTCTTGCTCTAAGAGAACTTACATTTCTAGCATGCTATCCTTCTTGATTTAGCATTTAGTCTTTATTAATTTAGTTGTGAAGTTCTGAACTTTGTGCCCTTTGATTTCAGGATTATTTGATCTTCTGGTCTTATGAATGTCTTAATTTCCATAAGTTGGAGATACTATTTTGAAATCGATTTAAAAAGTTGTATTTTTGGGTACTACTATAACAACAACATACTAGTGCAATCTCACAAGTGGGGTTTGAGAACGTAGGATGTATGCAAACCTTACCCCTACATTTTTGGGTAGAGAATTGATTTTTGGTAGACCCTAGGCTCAAAAGAAGTTTAATCAAAGCAAGATTGTAAGATATAATAGAAAGATGAACAAAGCAAATGAAGCAACATGAAGTAGTAAAAATTGAAGAATGAAATATGATGCGAATATTATCTAATACTACTAAAATAATGAAAAGATGAGAAAAGGAGACTAGCCTCTCCCACATAGAAGGACGACAACACTCAGCTACCTGTTATCTTTCTACCCTAATCCTCGACCTCCAAACCTTCCTATACGATGTTATGTTCTCAGTAAGCTGAAGATGAGCCACGTCTTGTCTAATCACCTCCTTTGGTTCTGTTTTTGGCCTTCTTCTACCTCTCCTAAAGCCTGTTATAGCCAACCTCTCGCACTTCCTTACTAGTACATTCGTACAACTCCTTTTCACATGCCCGGACCATCTCAGTCTCGCTTCCCTCATCTTGTCCACCACAGAGGGCATAACCACCTTCTCCTGTAGAACTTTGTTCCTAATCCCCTATCTCACCTCCTATGCCTACACATCCTTCTGCAAATTCTCATTTTCTGTACCTTCATCTTTCGAACGTGCGCATAATTGACTGGCCAAAATTGTATTTTCTGCTACTTACCTACCCAGATTGCTATTATGTTTCCTAAATTTTGTGCCACCTTTACTTCTTGATATTGTGAAATTATGAAAGAAAACATGCAGCAGTATTCATCTTTCAACTGAAAAGGAGATTATATCTTCATAATTAAGAAGGGGAAAGTAGAGGGGACTAGGTTATTTGCTTAGGTTGTTCAAGATCTGAATCATAATGGAAGAGGGCTGTGAGATTTTGAAATGTAGAAGCTTGTTAAATGCTTAGTACACATTAAGAAGGATTTGTAATTCTTCCCTTTGCATTGTGCTCCAATGAATCAATCTAGACTTCACGGATGGCTATAATTTGCTGCAAATAAACTCTTGCCTGATGTTTTAGAGTCGAAAGAAGTTGCTATAGTCTATAGTAAATTCTATGTCACAAGAATAACAGCTGCATCAGTTTTGTCTTTTATCTTTCTATCTTAATTTTCTTTTGTTATATAAATACACTGCAATTGCAGTGGTCCTGTGAAATATTCTTAACATCATGTTGTAATACTAGTATGGCCTAAGTGCTATCCCTTCGGACCAATATCCACAAATGAAGGACCTAGATAAGGTAGGTTTAGCATTAATAGCCAAAAGAGAGAAAATGACAAGAAAAAGTAGCAGTTTTGAGGAACCTTTACATTAGTAGCATATTACAAGGCCTTGAGATTGTGGGGTTTTACTGTTATGGATCTTTTAATGCTGCTATTGGATACAGGTTTATTCTGTTATTGAAGTAATTCCTTATAAGATTGAGGGTAAAATTGGATGATTAGATTTATAATATTGATTGGTCTTATGACTCAGCTTGTGTAGTAGTGGCAGATGCATGCAGTTCTTGTGTGCATCACAAATTGAGAAAGAAAATAGAGGAAGCATTAGAGGAAATAAAGCCATATTAACTAATGAGCTGCAATTTTCTAGTCCTCCTTACTGTGAGATTAGCAACTGGTTGCTTCTGGTGAAGCACGTTTGCCACTACATGGAGATTCAGTATACTAGTCCTTAGCTGTGTCTCATGCCTAGAGAAGCAAAAACAGTGTCTGTTAGGCTGAAGTCAAATCGTGTCGTATGTGGCAATAAATTCTGCAAAGGACTAAGCCACTATTTTCAAGTCGAATGTGGTCTACTCCCACTAACCGGTCAAATACGCAACTGCATAAAGTTTCAGTGAACTTTTGAAACAATCAATGGGATTGATCTGCCCAAGTCGATATAAGGAGTACATAATTCCCTTATCTCTCTGATGTGGGACTTAACATACTGTTGATATTAAGTCTTTATTATGTTCTATTTACATAATCCTCATTAGAGTTTTTAGTGATACGACATTACTTTGTTTTTTTTAAATGATGATCAATTTAGTTGAGTAGTTTATAGTATTGACTTATCAACTTCACTTCAGACACAATTCTTGTTAATGATTTTAAATTCATTGCTGATAATAACTTGGGGATACTCAATTGTCTTGATTAGCCACTGAAACGAAAGAGTGGAACAGCAAACTACGAACAGGGAGTTGGTGCACAGGTGGCAGGTTCTGGAAGTTTCAATGGGAGTAGTCCAATGCAGACACCAATTTCAGGGAAAGCTGGAAACTCACAGAAAGCACCTAGGACATCAAAGGCCAGAGCTGCTGCTCAAGCAACCTCAAGTTTAGGTAAGGATATCCTACATGAATTTTTGTCAGAATTTGTTTATGCATCTCATATCATCAATGTAAGATTCCCATTTTATCTTATTCAATTTGACAGATTAGCGGTTTAGATAATATAATCTATGTTGTGTCACCCCATTTTATCGTTGTTTTCCATTTTCTCTGAGGCACCCACTATTTTATAAAACACCTAGAATTACAGAAGAGATAACTTCTTAAATATTTCAAATTACAGGATCCCCTTCAGGCAATAATGTTACTCCAGTTGGTCCTTGCCGCTATGACAACTCCTTAGGTAAATTAAAACTTTTATGACTTCCGGTTACAAATTTGTGTTTTTTAATCTTCCTGTCTATTGGGGTATGAACATAGGTGGAGGTTGCATTTCTGAGCTTGTGCATTTGTATGCTATTAGACATTTTTCTTGAATTACTTCTTGTAGAGAGTATATATAGCAGAATTAGTAACTATGACTTCCTCTCTTGATTCTCAAACAGGTCTCTTAACAAAGAAGTTCATTAACCTGCTCAAACATGCAAAAGATGGCATCCTAGATTTGAACAAGGCTGCTGATACATTAGAGGTATCTTCACTTCGCAGTAGATACTACATAAGCCTGTATGATAAAATTCTATCAACTTACAGATCTCCTCCTTTTAACAGGTGCAGAAAAGGCGTATATATGACATTACAAATGTCCTGGAAGGCATTGGTCTGATAGAAAAGAAACTAAAAAACATGATCCAATGGAAGTATGGAAATGCTTATCCAATAAATATTTTACATTGAAGTTGTTTATCATTTACGTTCCACATTATTCAAGATCATTCAATAAACAAAAGTTACGACTCAGTTCTCTTATTACATAGGGGGTTAGATGTCTTAAGACCGGGGGAAGTTGATGAGAGTGTTACAAGTTTACAGGTTGAAGAACTATCTCAATGCTTGTCTTTTTTCTTATTTTGTTAACTGCCAATTGGCCCTGTCATAATCTGCCAAGTAGCCTAAGCAAAAGTGTTTCAATAATTGGTTTGTGCTTTTTTTACAGGCAGGAGTTGAAAATTTGACGATAGAGGAAAGTAGATTAGATGAACAGATAAGGTTGTCTTCTGATGCCTCTGAACAATATTCAAGATTTCTTTGCCTCAACATTATGCTGACTGTGTTAAATTCGCTTGTCTCAGAAAAATGGAAGAAAGATTGAGGGACCTGAGTGGAGATGAAAATAATAAAAGGTACCACATTCTTTGGCTTAATCATGAACCATGTTATTTGTGTCACATTTTGTTGTTAAAACGATTAATCTGCTCACTTTTCCTTCGTATTCTTGACAACTGATCTCTTCTAAATTTTCTTTTTATAAGATGGCTTTTTGTAACTGAAGATGATATAAAGAGCTTACCTTGTCTTCAGGTAATTTTAAAACATATGCATTTGTTTTTTTCCTTTCATTTCTTTGTAATGCAGTTTTCATCAAATGACTAATGCTCTGATTTCAATTTATTGCTCTCATCAGAATGACACACTGATAGCTATTAAAGCTCCACATGGCACCAGTTTAGAAGTCCCAGATCCTGATGAGGTAACTGCTTTGTCTTTAGGACAATTACCTTTTCTTTGTTGTTGTAACAAGTCTACCAATTCTTTAACTGGTATCTCAGCAAAATTTAAGTAGCAGTTCTATGTGTCTTAGCATGTCTTCCTTGTTTCCAATAGGCTATTGATTATCCACAAAGGAGATATAAAATAGTGTTTCGCAGCACCATGGGGCCAATTGATGTTTACCTTGTCAGGTACTTATTTACTTCTTACTTCAACTACCTATGAAATTGAAAAGATTAATATGTAGCTAGAGGGATGGAGTATTTAATAGCTTTGCATTTTTTAAGGGCAAGATAAACTTAATCGATTTAAGGATGGAGTGTTTAAACAATCTTTGTCTAATTCTTTGTTTAGTAAATTCGAGGAAAAGTTCGAAGAGATAAATACTGTTGAGGAACCATCAACCATGCCTCCAACATCAGGTTTCATTGAGAATGAAACTGTAACATTGCCTGTTGATGATGGTGGAGGAGTTGATGTTGGGATGGAGGAGCAAGAAAATCAAAGAGAGTGTCCAGAAGCTGGCACTTCCCAGGACTTTGTGAGTGGAATTGTGAAGATTGTTCCAGATGTTGATGTAAGTTCTTATTTTCAAGTCTTCATAAAATTGAATAATTAGAGTATTTTTCAAAGCAAAAAATGAGGAAAAAGAGACTAATTCAACATAGTGCATTTTATCTTAAATAAGTAGGTAGAGTATTTCATAGAAACTTCCAATGCAGTTTGGTTTTTCAGTTACTTATTTTTTCTTCGGCCCTACAGAATGAAGCAGATTACTGGCTGTTGTCAGATGCCGATGTTAGTATCACTGACATGTGGACAGAGTGTATCCTACTAGTTCCGTTCCGTTATTTTTTATTTCTTGCTATCAACGAATGTTATCCCTTGAATATCGAATCCATGACTCAAAGTTAGCTGCTCTTGACTGGAACGCGTTGGATTCAATTAATGAGGATTATTCAATTGCGGATGTTAGTACTCCACGTGCCCAAACTCCCCCTTCTAGTACCACTGAAGTACCTTCTGCGAATACTACTGGAAGCTGAGTAATATTTCCTGGCATTTCTGTGGATGCTCAGGCTTGGTTTTCAGAGTAGTGCTCGAGCTTGGTGTTCAAAATGATAAATTCTCCCTCCGCAAATCTGTATTAATTTATACTCTGTATTGCCCCTTGAATGACCTAAACGTAAGAACAAGTGCTTCCGGGAGCTTTTTCCGAAATGCTCTGTCAGGAAGTTGGCAGTTCGATGCCCCAAGGAAATGAGCTTCATTGTACAGTTAGTAAATATATCATTGTACTTGTAGTGGCAATAATCAGAATAAGTTGGCAGTTAGAACTACTATCAAAATTTCACTGTGTATTGTCTAATGTCTTGCTCTCTATGGCTTAGCTTTGAAATCTGATAGTGATGTAAAGAAAATTTGATCTAGTACACTGCTGTTGTAGTGGTGGCTTGTTTGACCCACTTAAATTCAGTACAAATCGTCCATTCACATACTAACTAATGAGCTGCAATGTTTTATTACATTATTCATCTCCCTCTTCCCTGCTTGTAGTTTTTAAAGAGGACCTCTAGTCCTTCTCACTGTGAGATTATCAACTGGTTGCTTCTGGTGAAACACGTTTGCCACTATATTGAGATTCGGTATACTAGTCCTGAGATGTCTGCCTAGAGAGGCGGAAACAGTCTGTTAGGCTGAAGTCAAGTCGTGTCATAGGTGGCTAACCATACTGCACAGGACTAAGCCAGTATTTTCATGTCGAATGTGGTCTACTCTACCATTAACCAGTCATATGCCAAACTGCATAAAGTTTCAGTGAACTTCTGAAGCAATCAATGAGATTGATGACTCATTGATCAGCCCAACTCTCCATATAAGGAGTCCATAATTTCCTTATCCCACTAATGTGGACTTAGCATGCTGCTAAGATCAAGTGTTTATTATGTTCTATCTACAAAATCATCGTTAGATCTTTTGGTGATACGACATGACTTTGTTTATTTAAATGCTGATCAATCTAGTTGAGTAGTTTATAGTATCTACTTATCTTCATATTCTTGGTAAAGATTTTAAAATTTATTGCTGATAAGAACTTGGGGATATTCAATTGTCTTGATTAGCCACTGAAACAGAAGAGTGAAACATCAAATTACAAACAAGGAGTTGGTGCACAGATTGCAGGTTCTGGAAATGCCGATGTGAGTAGTCCAATGCAGACACTGATCTCAGGGAAAGCTGGAAAGTCACAGAAAGCACCAAAGACATCAAAGGCCAGATCTGTTGCTCAAGCAACCTCAAGTTCAGGTAAGGATATCCTATAAGAAGTTTTGTCAGCATTAGTTTATGCATCTCATATCATCAATATAAGATTCATCATTTTATCTTACTCAATTTGACAAATTAGCGGCTTGGATAACTGTAATCTTTGTTGTGTCACCCTATCTTATTGTTGTTTTTCATTTTCTCTGAGGCACCCACCATTTTATAGAACACGTTGAAATTACAGAAGAGATAACTTCTTAAATATTTCAAATTACAGGGTCCCCTTCAGGCGATAATGTTACTCCAGTTGGTCCTTGCCGCTATGACAACTCCTTAGGTAACTTAAAATCTTTATGACTTTCGGTTACTAATTTGTGTCTTTTAGTCTTTGTCTGTCCTTGGGGTATGAATATAGGTAGAGGTTGCATTTCTGTGTTTGTGCAATTGTATGTTATAAGACATTTTTCTTGAATTACTTGTTGTACTGGGTAAATATATACCAAAATTAGTAACTATGACTTCCTCTCTTGATTCTCATTCAGGTTCCTTAACAAAGAAGTTCATTAACCTGATCAAACATGCAGAAGATGGAGTTCTAGATCTGAATAAGGAAGCTGATACATTAGAGGTATCTTCACTATGCAGTAGATACTACATAAGCCGGTATGATGTAATTCTATCAGCTTACTACAGATCTCCTCTTTTTAACAGGTGGAGAAAAGGCGTTTATATGACGTCACAAATGTCCTGGAAGGCGTTTGTCTGCTAGAAAAGAAATCCCTAAACATGATACAATGGAAGTATGGAAATGCTTATCCAATAAAGATTTTACATTGAAGTTGTTTATCATTTAAGTTTCATATCGTTCAAGATCATTCGATAAACAAAAGTTACGACTCAGTTCTCTTATTACATAGGGGGTTAGATGTCTCAAGACCAGGGGAAGTTGATGAGACTGTTACAAGTTTACAGGTTTGAAGAACTATCTCGTTGCCTGTCTTTTTTCTTATTTTGTTAATTGTCAATTGGCCCTGTCATAATCTGTCAAGTAGCCTGAGCAAAAAAGGGTTTCAATAATTGGTTTGTGCTACCTTTACAGGCAGAAGTAGAAAATTTGACGATTGAAGGAAGTAAATTAGATGAACAGATAAGGTTATTTTCTGATGCCTCTGATAAAATATTCAATATTTCCTTGCTTCAATATTATGCTGATACTGTGTTAAATTGGCTTGTCTCAGAGAAAAGCAAGAAAGGTTGAGGGTTCTGAGTGAAGATGAAAATAATGAAAGGTACCACATTCTTTGGCTTAATGATAAACTAAGTTGTTTGTTGCTAATGGATCTATCGGCTCACTTTTCCTTCGTATTCTTGACAACTGATCTCCTCTTTGTAACTGAAGATGATATAAAGAGCTTACCTTGTCTTCAGGTAATTTTGAAACAGATGCTTTTGTTTTTTCCTTTGATTTCTTTGTAATGCAATTTTCATCAAATGACTAATGCTCTGATTTCAATTTATTGCTCTCATCAGAATGACACACTGATAGCTATTAGATTTCCACACGGCACCAGTTTAGAAGTTCCAGATCCTAACGAGGCAACTGCTTTCTCTTTAGTACAAAATCCTTTTCTTTATTATTGTAACAAGTCTACCAGTTCTTCAACTGGTATCTCAGCAAAATTTAAGTAACAGTTCTATGTGTCTTAGCATGTCTTCTTTGTTTCTAATAGGTTGTTGTTTATCCACAAAGGAGATCCAGTATAGTGATTCACAACACCATGGGACCAATTGATGTTTACCTAATCAGGTACTTATTTACTTCTTTCTTCAACTACCTATGAAACTGAAAAGATTAATATGTTGCTAGAGAGGATGGAGTGTTTAATAGCATTGCATTTTATAAGGGCAAGATAAACTTAGTGGATTTAAGAGGTTCTTTTTTTGTAATTTTTTATTTAGTAAATTTGAGGAAAAGTTCGAAGAGATAAATCTTGTTGAGGAACAATCAACCATGCCTTCAACATCAGGTTTCATTGAGAATGAAACTGCAGCATTGTCTGTTGATGATGGCGGAGGAGTTGGTGTCGGGATAGAGGAACAAGAAAATCAAAGAGAGTGTCCAGATGCTGGTACTTCCCAGGACCCTGTGAGTGGAATTATGAAGATTGTTCCCAATTTTGATGTAAGTTCTTATTTTCAAGCCTTCAAGAAACTGAATAATTATTGAGTGTTTTTCGAAGCAAAGAATGAGGAAAAAGAGACTAATTCAACATAGTGCATTTCGTAGAAACATCCAATGCAGTTTGTTTTTTTCAGTTACTTATTTTTTCTTCGGCCCTGCAGAATCAAGAAGATTACTTGTTTTTGTCAGATGCCGATATTAGTAACACTGACTTGTGGACAGAGGGGTATCCTACTAGTCCTGTTCCGTTTTTCTTTGCTTCTTGCTACCGATGAAGATAGAATCCATGACTCAAAGTTAGCTGCTCGTGACGCGTTGGACTCAATTTATGAGGATTATTCAATTGCAGATGCTAGTACTCCACATGCCCAAACTCCCCCATCCAGTACCACTGAACGAACTTCTGCAAATACTACTGAAGCTGAGTAATATTTCTTGGCATTTCTGTGGATGCTCAGGCTTGGTTTTCGTTGCAGTATTCGAGCTTGATGTTCAAAATGATAAATTCTCCATCAGCAAATAGTAGTTCTACATTGTACAGTTAGTATATACCATTGTACTTGAATTTCACAGTGTAGTTGAATCTGAAGCTGATACTTGTAATTCTCATTCCAATAAATGGTGTCTTCTTGTGCTTTACAAGTAAAGTAGTAAAATTTGTTCAACCTTTCATGGAATTTATTTATTTCGTGGATGTGTAGTTAGCTGGATGTCAATTCAAGAATTACTGTACTGCTAAAATACAACTACATATATTTAATAGGTCGAACCACTACTTTTAAGTGTATGTAAACAAAAAATTCGGATAACTTTTATGTATTCAACCAATAACTAGCTTCTATTCGAATTTTCCACAAACAACAACTACTACTACATAATTTTGCATGAGTAGTCTTCTTTAAAATGCTCTCCTTTATTTGGCAAAGAAGAATTAGAGGCCCCACCACAGTACTCAGCATCTAATTCCTCCAAAACATTCACCATTTCATCATGTACTTCGTTAATATGTGGCTCCACATTTTCCTCAGGTACTTCAATAGCAAGTGGTTCCACATCTTGCACCTGACCTCCCTGATCCAAAAAAAAAAGATGAAAAATAGTTTGACGATAAGGGTATACACAACTCAAAAGTATAATAGAGGATATTTATGATAGTTTGGGATATATTTATCCTTTTTCCATTAATAAAATAAACTACTATAGCACTAACATGCTAAGTTACATACTAATAATGAAGGGATAAGTGTCTGAAAAATATCCAACTTTGGTCGGATTTGCTGTTGCGATACTAAACTTTCATGAGAACCTATTACCTCCCTAGACTATTTAATACCGTATTTTAAACATATATATTTGCTCACGTGGACATAAAAAATAATGTAAAATTATAAATAATAATGTGTCCACGTGGGCACATATATACCTTTAAAATACACTATTAAATAGTTCAGGGGGTAAAACATACAGTATTAAATAGTCTAGGGAGGTAATAGGTCCTTATGAAAGTTTAGTATCGCAACAGCAAATCCGACCAAAGTTGGAATATTTTCGGACCCTTATCCCAATAATGAAAGATAACTATTTCGACATATAATCTGAAAAACAATGGTTAAATTAATTTATGCTGATAGTATATATTACTATCATTATGTAGATGTAGGAAATTAAATAAATAAATCAATCCTTTTGCTGCAAAAGGTCAATATAATTCATAATTGTTAACATAAGTAAGTAAATTAAAGTTTGATTTGCTTTTTCTAATCTTTTTAGATGAACAAAATATAGTTTCTAAATTCAAATCTCACTACCAGTACTTGTTATAAAAAAAAAATTCTACGTGCTTAACCCCAACCTCTCATACATGAAGACATGTTAAAAACATTAATAAGTAATTATAAGTATGTTCTAACAATTCAAGCTTATAGACGAGATAATCACACAGGAAGGAAGAAGAGGAGGAGAGAATTGAAGGTTATACCAAGCACAAGTCGATAAATGCAGCTACAATGAAATGTTGATTCTTCATGTTATTAATCTTCAAGAACCAAGTAAGCAACTCCTCCATAAATTCCCAATCCACCATATCTCCCCTTTGGCCACCATAAGCTTTAGTCATTTGCTCCATTGAATGTAAGAAATCCATTTTAGGATTCTCAGTTTCCACAGCTAAGAGTAGACAATCTTTGAAAGGGAAACCAACCATAGATAGAACAGAACACGACTCGTTTTCTTCGAACGATAGCCTCCTTGTTGCCAATGCTTGTTTTGCCATCTCCAATGCCTCATCTGGACAACAAAGTACACCACTTTCTGGGAATGGACCAAACATGTTATCTAGTAAAGATTGATCATATTTGCTACTAAACTTTTTCTTCTTATTCTTTCTCAGGAATGAGAAGCGTTTCCACAAGGGAAAGTACTTCATTTTTACTAATTAGAAGACTACTCAGCTTGTTACATTTCTTTTGAATTCAAACTAATTAAAGGGCACTTACTACTTACAAATTCATTTATAGTACTATATACACCAACTCTTACATAAATGAAATAAATACTGTGTATTGCTACCTTGTATACTTTTCTACGCACAACAAATAAAGAATAATAATTGTTTCTATATTATATTTAGCGATAGTAATAAATATGAGTATTTATAACTAGTACTCTATATAAATGTCGTTAAAGACTTTAACCAATGACATTAGCTAAATTGTCGCTACATCATGTTTTTGCGGAAATATAAAAAGAAAATTTATTGCCACTAAATGTCTCTTTTGTTGTAGTGCTAGTACTACTCTCGTCCAAATACGAGATACGATGTGTTAGTGCTGATATGATTACATCCACAAACTTCATTGACATCGGCTGATCAACTGAAAAGGGCACAACAACTAGATCCAAAACATGCACAACCATCATAGATATCCGTATTACTTTACTTACTTTGATTGAACATGAAATTTCATACTCAAACATGACATGAAGTACTATTAAAATTATAGAATTACCAAATATAAAAATGTCATATTTTTTTATATAGAAAAAAATATATGATGCATAATTGGAACAGGGGGAGTACTACAAATTAATTTAATCACTTTTAAGAGAGGCAAATGAAACGAAAGTCTTCAATCCTTTTAAATTATAAGCCTTCTGATATTATGACAATCCACTTTTTCAAACTAATGCTAGCTAATTACAATACTAGAGAAATTAAGGGCATATATAGTACTATGACTTTTCTAATCGTAAAATTTCTATTTAACGATGCATTATTATAGATTATTGACATTTAAATTTATGAATTAGAGATGAATTAAAAAATTAAATCTTATTTAGCGACTAATTCGTAGTCAATTCCCATTAATTAAGCGTGAATGTAGGTGACGGAGGGTACTGATCATTACCTCAAACATTTTATTGTTTTCTAGTTAGACTGTTAAACGTAAGTATTATAAATGGTGAACAATTGTAAATATTAAAGTAAGTCTTTAAATACCACAAAGAAAGTCCTGCTAATAAAATTTGTACAGTGTTAATTTGTTTTGAATATGATTTTTAGAAGTATTTTACATCAATATGAAAAGTTTTTGGAGTCAATACTTTCTCTTTCTCAACATGTTTAAGAAGAACCGACTAAAATGATTGATAAAATCGAAAAAATAACTTCTTTATTTTTTAAAAATAGAAATAAAACTTATGTATATAACATTCTCTTCATATCATATTTGTGGAATTACACTGATATGTTTGGTGCTGACGACTCACCTAGATCCTATTTTCAATTTAGTGACCTAGTAGTATAGCGTATACAATGTAATAATTAAAGAAATTATTAACGTGGTCTAGTATAACATTTTAGCGTGGATAAGTGGTTGGAGATATAAAACATTAGTTGAATGCTTTATATTACTTTTCTTATATCTAATAGCTAATACAGACAACTAGCTAGCTAGCTCTAATTAACTAGGTCCATGTTTGACTAGAACTACATATATATAATTGGATTGATTTATATATGTAGCTAGCCTATCTACGAATATTAGTCTTTCTGATCATTTGAATTAATTTTTTTCTCATATATAATTAATTAGTATATTAATTAATCAAATGAGATGTTTAAGAGATATAAATATAGTAGCTTAGATGGTATTTTTATGATTAATATAATTACTCAAAATGGATAATATGGACCAAAATAGTACTAAATTTACTATGTTACTTAGGAATCTATCCGTAAAATTTTCATTAGAGTTTTTAGTTTTCTTTGATTTTCCACTTGGAGTCGGTATCCACATTGGAGTTTAAGTATATCAAAATTCGTGCCACAAATCTGAGATTTCTGATTAAAAAAAAAACAGTCTCATCAATTGCATTACATCTTTTGGTGGTAAGAGTTTTTAGTTGATCTATTAAAGTACTTAATTTTTGTATAATCTATATAAGTGCATTTATTTTTCTTTTAAAAAAAATAAAGAAAGAACATTAATCAAGAAAAAATGATATGATTTTTTGTGCATATTTTTTTTATAAAAAAAACATGGTTATTCCTTTGTGCGTCTTCTGTGCTTTTTGTCCATTTTTTTTTCTTTAATCTTTTTATCTGTAACTCTTTTCCTTTTTTTTTTCCCTCCTATCCGTTCATCTTGTCAAATCTATTTTTCTCTCTTCTTTTTTAACTTCCTAATATTAAGGATACGTAACTAAAAGATAATATTTTTATGTTTCAAACATAGAATATAAAAACGTTTAAACAATGCATAAGAACATATTATATATTCATTAAGAGTGTTATAAATTATCATATCATTTTTCAACTCCAAGACCAATCCTACAAAGCTTAACAATCACTAAACAAATTATTCAGTGATATCAGACATGTGAAATGTTTAATTCATTAAATTAAAATGGGATATATATTGTGTATAATTTAAAACATTAAATAGGTGCCAACTCATTTGATAAAAAAAAAAAAAAAAACAGATTTGCTTGTAGCTTACCACAGGACTTTCATGTACCAGTTTTTTTTAGGGCAAATTACAGAAATCACATACTTTTAAGGCAAAATTTACAATTTATTCCTTAAAAGTTTATAATTAGAGGAATCTCTCAAACGGATACAATAATATAAGCGATGATACATTAATTTGATGCGTGAGATACAATAATATAAGCAATGATACATCAATCTGATGCGCGAGATACAATAATATAAGCGCTGATACATTAATATGATGCGTGAGTTACAATAATATAAGCGCTGATACACTAATCTAATGTGCGAAAATGAGGGATTTTAGAGATTTGTAAAACTTATAGGGGATAATGGTAATAAGTAAACTAAAATGTGGGATTTATGTAATTTTTCCTTTTTTTTAATCTCCATCTATCCTCTTAACTTTTTTGGGTCATAAATTTTGAGAGTAAATTATTTTTAAAAAAAAGAAAAAGGGAAAAGGATCAAAAATACCCCTCAACTTAAGTTTATTAGTTGACTTTGCCCTTGCCGTTAAACTAAAGTTAATTTTACCCCTACCGTTACTAATTTCACCATATATACCCCTCATTTGACGGAAATCCCCAAATCGACTCAAATTAACCCGAATTCTTAAAAACAACCCATTCCCCATTTTAAACCCAATGCCCGACCCGTATAACCCGTCCCCTTTTACCCATTCTCTCAAATTAACCCAAATCCTCCATTGAAGCCCTGTCAACTAGTTCAAACAATCACCAATCTATTCTTTTCGTCCCCCAAATCCTCTCTCCAATCCTACCTTCCTCACCTCACTTCGACTCCGACATTCTTCGTCGTCGTACAGGTTGGCGTTGGATATCACTCGCCGTCGAATGAGAAAGCTCTCCGTTCAGCAAAATCGAGCGTTTCTCGCTGCCACTTTCGTTCTCCGAAAGGTCTCTCTCAAAATATGTATAAATAGCTTCATCCTTGTCAAGATCTAGACGTGAGAAAAGAAGAAATAGAAGTTTTTATAGTTAATATTGTATGAAAATTGATCCATGTATTCAATTCCAATTATATATGTTTTAATTCATTTTGTCTATTTTAAGTCAACTTTCATTGTCAAAAATAGATGCTATGAAGCAACTTACTTTAAATTTTGGATTGACTCTTTCATAATGTGGTCGTATTGGTTCACTTTCAGGGTGCTGATGGATGTATAAACGTTGTTATAGTAGCAATTCAAGTATTGGAAGTGCTTCAATTACTTCATGCTTTATTCCTAAAAACCTTATAGTGAAATTTGTTTTCGACATCTCAAGATGACATAACTGTGCTATAGAAACTTGAAAGAATTATGCACAACATTTATGTTTTCTATTGGTCAATTTCTTAAGAGGTGAAGAGAAGAGAGTGATGATTTGGGTAGGAGTGGATAATAGGAGGAGTGAGGTGAGGAAGGTAGGATTGGAGAGAGGATTTGGGGGACGAAGAGAAGAGATTGATGATTGTTTGAACTAGTTGGCAGGGCTTCAATGGAGGATTCAGGTTAATTTGAGAGAATGGGCTATACGGGTTGGGGCATTGGGTTTAAAATGGAGAATGGGTCGTTTTTAAGAACTCGGGTTAATTTGAGTCAATTTGGGGCTTTCTGTCAAATGAGGGGTATATATGGTGAAATCAGTAACAGTAGGGGTAAAATTAACTTTAGTTTAATGGCAAGGGCAAAGTCAAACAATAAACCAAAGTTGAGGGATATTTTTGACCCTTTTCCCAAAATTAAATTATTGTTTGTTCATAAATTTGGTCAATTGTTGAAAATCTATCTCTAAATTTTTTTCAAGTTTCACTCGTAAATTTTTTAATTTTTGCAAGTAAAAATGCAAGTTTAAATACAACTTAAACTTTTAAAAACTATATTTTCCAACAAACTTAAAATTTTTATTTTTTATAAAATTTTAATTAAATCTATGATACGCTAGTTTAAGTTTACATTGCATGAAAATTAAGGAAATAAAGGTCGACAGTCACGGAAATAAAAACTTGGAGCCTCCCATGATCGACTATTCATTTTGAATTGGATATTATTATTATTCCGTGTTATATGGAGCAGTCAACACTTCTGAGGCTTCACTAAGAATTGTCAAATCTTTTAGGTGATTTGTGTTTGAATTAGTAAATAAGTCTATTTATTTTATTTTGCTGATTCAATCTTGCAGCGTGATTCAGCTTTAGTTAGGAAGTGAAGACTTTGGTAGAACAATAGCTAGTGAGAGAAGTATTGGAAAACACGAATTTAGGAGTGTATTTTACTTATGTTACAAATGAGTGTTTTTGAGACTGTCAATAATTTTAAAGATTAAACTAATAATTCACTATTTAAAAGTGTTTTCAATACTGAAGAATTGTACCTATGTCACAAAGTTTGTTTGGAACAACTATTTTGGACCAAAAAATAACTTAAAAATTAGAATTCAGAATTTGTGAGTTTATAATTAGTTTGAATATTATGTGTACTTCTACTTCCATTAGCTATTAAAATTAAAGTCACGAAAAACAATATTTTCAGCATAAAAGAATAAATTTAATAGCTTTTATTTACTAACAAAAAATGAGACAATTACTCATTTTTCTGTTCTCCTAATAAAGTAATTAATTAACTTCTAATCCATACAAGACGCCAGCATGTCTTTCTGCCCCGTCATTCACAAAATAAATATCCCTCATTTTCTGAAACGCATGCCATGTCAGCAAGCTATCTGAACCGGCCTGGTGACATTTCCCGACCGCCCGGTCTACAGACAAAGTCTTCGCAAGCCGGTCTAAACCACCATAAAGACTATTACAGAATCTCATCAAATGCTTCATATCATAAACTTTATTTCCGAAAAACACCCTCACAACTTCCATAAACTCCTCTAAACCACCGGGAAGTTCCCGGCGCGTGAGTATCTTCACAAGGTACCCAAAATCATACGCGCTGTGAAACGTAACCCAACTCACCGATTCATTACACACCAAACCGGACGACATCATCAGTTCAGTAAACCGGGCGGAGTCGATCCCGCATTCCCGGTTCATTTCAAAGTCGATCCCCTGTCGGCGGAGTAGCTCGATGGAGTCCGGAGCGTAGAGATCACGCGCCACATCGAAATCGGAGAAATTGAACTGCCATATGTAACCGCCGTCAGATCCCAAATCAGGGAGGTTACCGTCAGCGTCAGATAAAGTTAAACCAAGCTGAATGAGATTCAACACATCAACGTTAGACTTCAAGAGCTTATACTGATCCGATGGGGAATTTTGGCGGCGATTGTAAGAAATCTTGGGCTTGAAAACAACACCAGGAAACTCAGTATCCATAGATATGTAAGGGTAGTTATCAATGACAGTAGAAATGAGTTCAAATTCCGAGTCGAGATTATGAGCCCATACTTCTCGAATTTTAATAGCCATTGATGATAAATCCTGAAAAGGGTAATGGTAAAAACTGAAAAGGAATTGTGGGTATGAAAGAAGATTTTGAATTGCTTGTTGGTGAGTGTGAGGGGAAGAAGGGATTGGTTATATAGAAAGATGAGAGAATTTGTTGCTTTTGATGAGGGAGAAGAGGTGGAGAAGTAATAAATAAATGGATAGAGGCAAGCAAGTGGGGGAAGTTGAGTGGTTTTGCAGAGTGAAAAGGAAGGAGAAAGGAAAGAGAATGAATGGAATGGTATAATGGGTATTGGGTACACAGAAATAGCGGAAGTTTTTTTTGTCCACGTTCAACGCGTTTGAGTTGTTTCATTTGACTCATAAACAAACTAGAGTGATTATCCATAATGTATTTAATTATGGTATTATTATGAAGTCTATTTTGCTAACTTCGCTTTTATGTTTTTTCTTTATACACTTAAATATATTCTCATTAATAATCTCTCTGGTTCATACTATTACTTTGCATTTTGACGAATAAAGAAAGATTAATTAATTCCTCCATTTTAATTTAATCTCAAAATAAAACAATTTGAAATGGCTGAATTTAGTGTGTTGTCTAAGTCTTCTTCTTACCTCTTTAATAACATGAAGAAATGCTTCTATATTTAAATACTTAAAATTTTCTCTCATTAATGTGTGAGAATTGCTTATTCCAAGTTGTGAACTGTGCAGTATTCCCTAAGTTCCGTCCTCCTTATTACAAATATATAATCTTTAATACTTCCGATCAACAATAGTTATTCACTATACTATTTTGGGATGATCAATAATACTTGTCCACTTTATAAAATTAATGGATAATTTTACATTTAGTTCCTAATTTATACTAATCATTAATTATAGTTATTTCCCTATTACTCTTTGTCCCTAACATTTTACAATGTATTCTCTCATCATATTAGTATGAAAAAAAGATGAAATTTATAGTACTTTTCGTATATTTGTAAATATCTATTTTTTTTGTTTAAAATATCGAATAATGTAATCTAATTTAACTTTGAAAATGAATCAAATTGACTTTCGAAAAGCGTAATATAACAATTAAAGTGGACAGATGGAGTATATTCAAATGGTGATATAGTAAATAACCCTTTTATTTATAGTTTCTTAAGAAGTGTGCAAAATCAATAATGAACAATTATTGTTGGACAGCGGAAGTATTTATCATTTCACAAAATCAATGCATAGACGACACTATTCTTTATATTTTACCCTTATTAACCTTGAAAGTATAAATTTGTTAACATAGAAAAACTAAGTAATTAATTTATGTTTATTGGTTAAATTAGTTAATCAAAGTAAATTAATTCAAATTCATTTATTGAAAACTTGACTTTAAGATATATATATTTTGTGAAATGGTAAATTTATCTAGTTTCTTAAGGGACGTAAAACCTAAAATAGTGACAACTAAATAGAAATGGAAAGAGTAACTTTTTTACTTTTCCTCCACTTTTCATTTATTTCCCACTCTACCATCCAACAATCCCCAACATAATACTCCCTCCGTCCACAATTAATTGTCATAGTTTCCTTGTTTAGAGTTAAACAATAAGAACTTTGACCAACATTTTACGATGTATATTTTCATCATATTGATATGCAAAAAATTGCAATTTATAGTACTTTTCGTATAGTTTTTGAATATCTAATTTTTTTTAAAAAGAATATCGAATTAACGTAATTTAATTTAATTTTAAAAATTAGTCAAATTGACTTTTGAAAAGCGCAACATGACAAATAAAAGTGGACAGAGGGAGTAGTAATCTTATTTGGATCTTCAAAAATATAATTCATAAGAATATCTAAATAAAATAAATTTCTAATAGATAGTCTTTTTAAAAAGAGTGTCAAATTAACAAAGGATAAGTACAATTAAACGGAAGGAATACTAGATAGCCAAGTAGCTCAAACCTTGTAATTGACATTGCTCTAGTTCACATACAAAATAGAGTAATATTTTCCTCATGAATTATTCGAAATATATTATATTTCGTCACCATCATCTTCACAATTTTAAAACCAATGAAATTGATGTTTTCACTTCTAACCATTTTGTCACTTTGCTTTGTGATTGAACAATAATATTGAACCGCATTAAATTCTTGTTCTTAATTTTTAAATTTTCACAAGTCAAATTGATACCCACATTTTTTTTTGCGCTAAATTGATATATAATATGATAATCATATAGAGAGAAATCTTACATATTACTTTAAGGGTATCACTCAAAGTGTAAAATTGAGAAGAAAAAATATTACGCACTTAAAATAAATAAAGTGAGTAAAGCATTTAATAACTCCCGAATTAAGTTTTTTTTTCTTGTATATAGAAAAAACAAGAAAAAATGTCAGCTTTATATTAAGTGACCAAAAATTACGTCATCTTTGCATAAAAATCAATCAATTTTACACTTTTTTTTTATCATCCAACTATTAACACATTAAAAATATATTATTTGACAAAATGTTAACAGAAAAATACATTGAATATGAACACAAAGTTGGAATGGTTTTTTCAGAAAATAGGGAAATGGTTTTTTGCTGTACAGACTGGAAGTGAGCTAAGCAAATGAACTAATTCTGTTTTTTTCTTCTATTTTGGTGTTTGTGAATCTGTGGATTTTGCTAGTTTCAGAATTGTGACACCTGCATGGCGGTGCACGTGTAAATAACTAAATTAATCATCACATGATTGACAAATTAAAATAAGATGAACTTGTTTAATTTTAAATATCAAAAAATAATTTATTATTTTATATTTATTCTTAAGTACATAATTCGATAAGCAATATTAATAAAAAAAAACAAGACATTTTTTTGTAGTGATATCTACCCTAAAGAAAGATATAAATTTGTTGAATATTAATTAGCTTTTTTCTTCATTTAAACAAAACGTACCGTCAAAAGCAATCAAAAAGTAATTATAAGCAATTTGTGGAGATTTCTTTCTCATTTTTAATTTTTACGAATGTCAATATTATAATATGTAAATAATAAGATAGTGGGGGTTTAATCATTGATTTAATTTTATAAAATCTTATTAATTGAAAACGTGATAAAGGAGGGGGCATTCAGCATTTTCGTGCCAGTCAATATATATATTGATGCTGTGGCCTTCTTAGAAGACTCGTTCTGTGGCATCTCTTTGATTATTATATTAGTAGAAATTAATTAAAGTAGTGGTGCTACACTAACAAATATTCTATACTTCTTCCGCTATTCGATTATAAACATGAAATTTTAAAAAATAAAAATAATTTTTAATTTTTGTGATCATAAATAAAAAAAATATTAAATGCATCAAAATATTTTTTAAAATCTTAAATTAGTTGGTGTTATTTAAGTAGTACACTATATTATTAGCTTCCTCATTTGACCCTACTTTTATTTTAGATGTTGACTTGACTAGTCTCTTGAGACTGAATTTTGGTCAACCATGTACACTCCTGTAGTGTAAAGACCGAGTAAAATCTATAGGTTATATTGTGTGACATTTATATATATCTATAATAATATAATTATCCATTTACATTTTTGTATAGGTTCAATGGAGGGTATTGGGGGTCCCAATAAACATGCTTTTCAAATCATGTATCAATAATTTCAGAAACTTCAAGGAAAAAATTAAAGTGCGTATTTTATTCCAATTTGATGTTATTTATTCAGAATATATCTGGCTTAATATCCAATGTTGATAGACAGAATTTTAATAAATAATATAATTCAAAAATATGTGGATTAGAAGCATATTACGAGTTTAAGTTTTTTTTTTAATCACAAATAGAAATCCAATACTATAGTGGTATTAAAGTAAAAGAAAAGGATATACGAGTAGGTTCATTATATTATTGATCGAGTTTTGAATCGTAATAAAATAAAATGGGATAATTACCATTCCATTCTCGGGTTAACACATATTATGTTGATGTGTGAATGAAAATGAACAATATGAGGCTTGCTGAATAGTTTCTGTTCATTTGAATTTAATGTCAAAATATCTGAATTTCAACTTGATATATGTTCTGGTCTCCTGTCATTTGAATTAATCATGTTCATTCCTTGAAAATGTAAGTTAGTCAAGATTTATTCCCCTTAATTAACCATGTTTATTTTCTGATATTAAAGTTTGAGATTTCTCTTTCAAATATTGAAAAATTAAATTATTCTTTTGATCGGCAAAGTTTTTCTCTTTTTACTTTTTTTGCTAATCGATTTGTGCAAGCTTCAAACTTTCAATCACTAGTGTATGTATTTGAAAGTTGGAGAGCAACCGACTACAACGATTTGCATTCCTATCAAGCTTGAAATCTTAAATATCAAGAAATGAACCTAATTAATTAGGGAATGAACCTTGACTAACTTTAATGTTCAAAAAAATTAACTAGTTAATTAATAGGTGGTAATGCAAATCAAAGATTCATTGTCCAAATTAACCAGATTTGTTTCCTAAAATTAAAGTTAGTCAAAAATCTTCATTTCTTTAGTCAAAGTACATTCTTTGAAATTAAAAATAAAAAAGTTATATTTACTATCCAGACTTTGTTACCTACATATATAACAGTATATCATCAATCAAACAATATTTATAATAGGGAATTGAGATATTAAAATTGGTAATTAAGAGAAGCAATTGATAGAAGGATTTTTTTTTACCACTGAAGACAATATCTTTTGCCATTCTTGGCCAAATTATTTGATTTGATTTGATAGGTATAGGGAATTAAAAGGGAAAGAGTTTGGGCAATATTGCTGTGATGATTAGAGTAATTTGGGAAGAGAATAATATTCATTCATTTAAAGAAAAATGTGAGAGGATTTTATGGATATAAAAAGATCTGATTACATTTTAAATTTCATATTTGTGTTCAATGTTAATATTTGGGTCTAACTAAAATTTATCAAAAATACTGCTAAATTATTGAGTAAAATAATATTTTAGCTGCTTCAGTCTCGTATGTTTGAAAGTAGATAAACTTGCAATAAAATAAAATAAATTTAACTTGGGGTACAAATTAAAGAACGACTCTAAAAGCAAATATTTGATCATTTCCACTCCTTCGTGGCCGCTCTTCAGGCCCAAGTTCATTTTGATCTGCAGCCCATTTACTTCCTCGTCTAGTTATGGGCCTAATGGTTGGGCTCATAACATTTCTATTTGATCCAACATGTATATGGAGATTAGTCTTTGTTATATCATAATAAAACATTTAAATGACCTTAATTTTGAATTTTTAGTTACTTTAAAGATATGGTAAGATTATAAACTTTTATTGTATAAGTATATCTTGCTTTTATATTTTGGAATGAAAATAAAAACTATAGAATCAGTTGAAGTTCCAACTCGATCGGGTTTTCTTGTAAAACAAATTATAATTATGAAAAATTCTGCTTACACATAGTAGACAATTTGCATGCATATACCTTGATTAAGTAATGACTTCGATTGTATAAGTACAGGAGTGACAAATTAGCCTATTTGATCAATCGATTTAAGTTTGATCGGATTACTGAGTCATTCTAATCTATTAGTTCAGTTTATAAGAGTTTCGGATGATATGCCACCCATATTGACTCATGAGAAAATATTATTTATTTATTTGATATGATATATATTATATATAGATAAAATAAAGAAAAAAAGAAGTTTATTTAGTACTAAAATTTATAAAAGAACAAAAACGATGTGAAATTAGTAGACAATTTGCATGCATATACCTTGATTAAGTAATGACTTCGATTGTATAAGTATAGGAGTGACAAATTAGCCTATTCGATCAATCGATTTAAGTTTGATCGGATTATTGTGTCATTCTAATCTATTAGTTCAGTTTATAAGAGTTTCGAATGATATGCTGCCCATATTGACTCATGAGAAAATATTATTTATTTATTTGATATGATATATATTATATATAGATAAAATAAAGAAAAAAAGAAGTTTATTTAGTACTAAAATTTATAAAAGAACAAAAACGATGTGAAATTAGAAGCTACCTAATGAAGTGATGATGTACGTGTTCAATCATCATAAAATAATTTTGGTTTTGACCTTTCAAATGCCTGTGATGATAACGAAACTTAGAAGGAACGTGTTTGGTATAACCAACGATACCTTTAATTCATCATAAGTCATAACTAACTTTTAATTTACTAAGAAAAGATCACACTATAAACAGTGGCGGATCAGAGCCACACCCCTTTGATGGAAAATATTGTGTAGCTAAATAAAAATATTTTTTTTATAGTTATACATGTATATATTATATATTGATATTCTTTGACTTTTATAAAATTTAATTTCTTTATATTTTAACATTCCTTAGTCGAAATTCTGACCACAAGCCACTAATTATAAATGGTTTATGATAAGTAGGTAAAGGAATTTAGTACCACTTTAATTCCAAGCTTTAAAGCAGTGGGTATCAACATTTACTTCAGCTAGTTTCTTATGGTCCGCTAATTAACGTTGCTTTTATTTCGAGAATTATTTTTTAATGCATCAGATGGCACTGATCAATTCTCATTTTTTCTTTTAACTGATTTTAATCGATTAAAATAATTAGTTGGAAAACATTATTTTGATTTGTTTATCTTTTAGTTCCAAAGCATGTCTCTCCAAAAGCATCAGAGACCCTAATGTGGATATATAGGGGAACATTGTTCCATGATTGCCATGTTAATTACATGAGTAGAAATATTGGTGATTAAAGAAAATTTCTTGCCAAAAATAGACTTATAATCTACATAAACTATTACAAATATCACTCATAGTTGATTAACACACTAATTGTGATAAAATTAATATTACCCACTCTTTTCCTTCTCAAATTACATTTACATATCATCATAGTATGTAATTGCATCAAACAAGTACTCAGCGTTACATGTTTTTAATCATTTATTAAATTGACATTATTACTATTTTTAAAAAAAATATTAAGAGGAAAAAGGCAATCCCAAATATTGAAAAGCCATATGGAATCTATATGTTACAAAAAGTATATGTAGAATATTTGCTTTATCCCACTTTTGATACTTGAACTTTTTTTTTTCCATCAATACAATTTGTACATTATTCAAACGAAACATGAGGGGATCTAGTCTAGTTAATAATGATCAATGAGGTGGATTGAATAATCATGTGTGATGTTCTCATCTCCAAATTATCTTTGTGGATAAAATCACCTGTAAAATTAGTTCAAATGCGCATAAACTGGCCTAAACACCATCTTACCATAACATCAATAAATTCAACTAGAACTTTGCAATTTTCTCAATTTATACATCCTCATAGATCAAACTATTACATATACTATATATAATTGTTAAAAAGGGGGGGGGGGGTGAGGAGTAGAGAGTGAGAGAGCATCATTCTTAAGATATCAATATCCATGACATTGTTAGTTCCACAAATTAAACATCAACATGACAATTTTGTACCAATTGATACTTCATAGCTGAACCAACAGCAATACTGTTTCCAATCATTTTACCGCCAACATAAGCTGGACAATTGACATTCAAATGATACTTCCCTGAGACAAATGTTCCAACTTTCCATCTAACTCTTCCATCAACTTTAACATTAATCAACACAGTTCCAGCCATTTGATCTTCACTAAGACTCTCACTAAGGTACGGCGCGACGGGGACTGAGTTACCATACACAAAAGGTGACCATATTGTGAAATCTTTATGACCTTGATATGATTGTGGTAGAAGTGTAGGGAGAGTAATTTGTTGGCCACGGTAAGTTGCATAGACATCAAGTTTGTCATAGTAAATTCCTATTTTGTCATTAGGGTTACGAGAGGCTAAGGTGATTTGGAAGTTGGTGGTGAGGAGATTAGGTGAGGAAATGTTGAAGGAATATATAGTAGCATCTTGGAGGATGAAATGTGGTTTTGTTGGCCTAAGGATTAGAAAAATGAGAAGGATGATGAAGAGGATTAGGATTATGAAGCCAACTAAGGCGGCGAATAGGCGGCGGTGTAGCTTGTGACGTTCCTCATCGTGGTGGCCGCAGTCTTTGGCCGACATGGTGGTGGTGGTGGTGGTGTTTTAGTTCTTTGGGAGAGAGTTTTTGTAAGGGGAGATAAGTTTGTTAATATGGCTTGTTTTTTTAGGATTCTATAATGTGGTGTGAGAGACTTTATTTCTTGTATAAAAAGAGAGTGATCTTTTTGTATAGGAAATGTTGGGAGAATTTCTTTTCATTTTTCTATTTTTGTTGGTGTGGAGAGACTATTAAAGTAGGATGTATGAAAATTTATTCCCTTTTCAAATATGATTATGATACGAACTTTCGTAGTAGGTTAAAACCTGACCCATGTGGTCTTTGCTTAAAAGAATACTAGTAGGTTAAGAAACTTCATCTTGCAATTTTACTTTTTTGTATAATGTGGTGAGAAAGACTTTTGGTCAATTTAAACATTTGGTACCCGAAACCTAGTTATCTGACTGAATCAAATTCACATGGAATAAATCAAATAAAAAGCTAAACCGCTTCTGATCATGAAAGGTTTCAATTTACAAGTCTCGAGCCAGAGAATTATAGTTATGGATGAAGAGATCCTGATCACCACCTTATCAATGGGGGATTTTATTTTCAAATTTGTTGTTTTAAACACTTGAGATGAGTGACTTCTTGTTGATATTGGGGTTGTGGAAAACATTCCCACGACCCCTTTCTTACAACTAAGTTGTCAATCAATTTTGTTAGGAGTTCATGAGTTAATATACATATATATTTATTTAATTATCTAGTATAAATACAAAATCTACGAAAAGCTACTAAGTTCGTCTGAATTCACGGACCCCACCTAGCTCCGCTCCAAACTATTGTAAAAGGTGTCCAAAACCTCATTTCCAAGAACATGTTTTGGAAATGTTCCAACGACAAATACATCCAAATTACATGCAGTAACAAGTTGGCAACTTTAAAGGAAAAGTGAATAGTGGAAAATGAAGTTTGGTGATGGTGATGGTGATGATATTGTGTGCTAGTTGCAAGCAACCTTATCTTTTAGGGACGTATGCTTCTACGCAAAGGCTAATAAAAAGGTAAATAAAGATTCAAGAATTATTCCAAATGGCCCTACTTCTATAGTCTTGACAAACTAGGATTGCATTATTCTCAAGATACCAAACCATATTTGCCCATTATACCCTAAATCAGTAAAACTTCAAGTTCAATTATTGCATAGTATTTTATGAGAAAGTTAATTAATTACTAATAATTTACGCTATAACCGATATGATTAAATTTGGTAAGGTAACATTTTAATGATTTAGTATTTGGGAAGGCTTGAAAGAAAGAGAACTACAGCAAGAAAAACAAGAGTTACTCATTTGGCTTTACCCTACTTGTCTGTAGATCAGCTAGTTCGCGTTCTAGTTTTTCATTGATCTTTTCTACCCCTAGCTCTATGAGGAATCGAGGGGAGTCAATTCCGAGATTAACAAAGTTGAAACGTACAATTGAATTTCATTCAAAATAAAACAACAAACAGGATCAGCAATAGCTAAGGAAGGAGGATCTTGTTGTGTTTCCAGTCATTGACAACAAATTCAAGACCAAGTTTTACTCGGTCTAGAGCAAAAACAAGTGGAATAACAATTCGATACAAATAAACTGAAAGTAAAGATATATACTAAGTTGGAGCTGTAAGCTTTTACAGTCCAAGAAACAGTTTATACAAGACATTCTGAAGAAAAAATGAAAGTGATGACGACTTATAGCACCAGAACCAAAAGAACCCTCGTAAATCATCTGGTGGGGGGGAGTAAAAACATGCACAAAGGATAACAACTCCTGGAGATTCCATTCCCTACGCATAGCTGGAAATGGGAATTGTTGGCTTCAACAAGGTAGGATATGGAAGAGCTTACTTTTACACACTTACAGTGTAATAGAACTTTCATACCATCAGGTCACCGGTCACTTCAAAGATAACTACAAGTAATTGTCCATAACAAGTGGGATTTGTAACCTGGAAAATAAGACAGGTCATCCTACAACGAGTGAAAATACACAAATAGTGTAATAGTCTTTTACACTGTTGGAATATGCAAGTTAAATTCAATACAAGAAGGCATGCATTTGCTGCAGGTGAGTTGATATATTCAACTATGCTTGAGTTATTTCCACAAGATAAATAACTATTTCTTCTACTGTAACTACATGGAATTACAAATCTCTTGGCCAGATTATGTCTCCTTTCATGGAGCATGTTCATTTGTTGCCAAGACATGACATTTGTATCGCAATATAAAGTTAAAACCAAGACACGTCATGGTTCCAGCAAACTGGAAAATATAATCGTAGCTTAAACTTGAATAGTACAACTGAAAAAGGTAGATACGCAAAAAACAGATATCTTATCATCCCTGGCAGATAAGAGCAGAGAAGGAGGTAGGACACAAAAAAAGGTTCATTTGCTAGCAGCTTTCATCAAGACAGCAGATTGGTCCTTCAAGAGGTGAAGGACTTGTACCTCCTGTGTGTATTAACTTCATCTTCTATCAAAGACACTAACAAATGGCACGGCTGTACATAAATATTTATATTGAAGATTGTTCCTCCATAACTAAATATCAGCATGTACTTTAATTTCCTTTTAGATGTCCCAGTACAGACACCAGGTAATAGCCTAATAGAATAATTATAACCATTCACACATAACATATGTCAGCGGCAGGAGTGTTACATCTGAGTGAGAGGTAAGACCAATCCTATTCATCTTGGTCTGATCCGAACAGATATATCGAAACCAATGACTTCACTTTTTGAGAAGTAGGCAATAAACCAGGGATAAGGCCGTAAAATACCCCAAAATAGAGGTGGTAAATCTGCAATGAAGGACAATGCCCTGCCCTTCAACAAATCTTTAAGAAGATTCATACCATAAGAATCAAACCTTCACTAGTTCAGCAGCAGCGATTGCATAATCCTATAGAATCAAACCTTCACTAGTTCAGCAGCAGTGAGTGCATAATCCTATAGCGCTCCTGCAATCTATACTTTCACATCTGCCCATCTGGCAAAGGTGCTCTGAACGCATGCTTACCCCCCCCCCCCAAACACCACCAAGTCACCACACACACAGTAAGACAGCCATCTCCTCTGGGATGCTAAATTCTCAGAGTTCAGAGAGTTTCTACAGGTCAAAGCCTTCTATAACAATCAAGGTTTCGGTTTCTCAGGACCAAGTCCAAGTCTCAAAATCTCCATGAGCCAGATCTCAGAGTTGAAGATGAACAAGAGTGTCTTTAAGATTCTTTTGATGTTGTTTAACTATATCAAAAGTGCCTATCACATGAAATAACATGAACTACGAGGCTATTTAAAAGGATTCACAGTGATAGTCCTTTACAACTCCTTTTTCCCAGTGCTTCTATTCATATTTTCCCACAACCACAGCATCTGAATAGTTGGTTACTCTTTAATCTGCCAACACAATTCCCCACAACCAAATTGGCTCTGCATCACAAAGGTCACGATCTTGATACTTTAAGCTTGTATCAACGAGTAGACATGATAGTAGAAGCCTAAAAGTCCATATTGACATTACCTTGAACTGCTTCACATCACTTCAAGAGTTAAGACATCAAGAATTTATAACTTGGACGATATAGGAACGAACTTTTATTTGATGAGGTCAAAAGAAATTGTAAAAACATTACCTTTTAATGCTTTAAAGCAATGCTTCGAGGAAAAGAAGATATCATATGGAAGGAACTTAGTGAAGCACTAGCAATCGCCAGAAAATTATTTTCATCATTTGCAAGATTTTGAATCGCCAATAAAATGGAATCCTAAATGACATGAAGGGGATTCTACAGGTTCATAGAATTAACCTTCTATTCCTTAACATATCAAACTTTCAGCCCTTTTCACTTGGCTTAGCGATACTGTAAATCATAAGAACCAAATAACCAGAACCAAGAATAATGTAGAAATATAACACATTCTATCTCCACATCTTAAATGTAGCCACAGAAATAACAACAAGAACAACCTAAAGATGTGCATACACCAATGTGAGAAATAAACAATCAAGATCAGCTTTTTCGTGTTTTTTTTATATCAGATCTACCTAACGCAATTCAATTAGCATTATCCTTACTACATTGCTTATACAATTATACTAAGAAGTATATAATGCAACAGAATTAGAGAATCTAATGGGTCACCAAAATTCAATTAAAATTCACCTCAGTTAAAACGCCACCATCACAGCCCAACCCGACACTGCCTTTGTCCTCCAAGCAAGTTCCCAGAAGACTTGTTTAACGCAACTCCAACTGACAAATCCCCACAGTAAACTCTCAAATACCTCCTCCTTGCTCTCCAAGCTCCAGCTTTAAAACTAACCCTAGCTACCATCCTCACATTGAATCTAACACTTGCCTTTTCAGCCCTCTCTTTTCCCATACCCTCAAAAGCCCATTTCTCCACATACGCCCCAGACGCAACAAATCTAACCTCCTGGGAAGTCTCGTTTACCCTATCCATAAAGAAAGGTGGAACCGTAGTATCAGCAATTGAGAGTGAATCATAGAAAATCGCAGCAGCAATTTCGTCGTAGTACAGAGTAAGCTTCTTGTTTGGATTCCTGGCAGTAAATCGGAGATCCCAGTTAGCAGTTATGAGGGAATTCGACAGATTGAGGTTAGAAACAGAGAGCGAGTCGACTTGAAACTCAGGGATGCGTGGAAGAATGACAATCCAGATGACAAAGAGAATTGTTCCGGTGATGATCGTAGAAGCAACAAGTATAGCTATCACTCGTCGGAGAAAGGTATTACGCTGGGCCGCGTAAGGGTCTGGGTAGGGGTAGTTGTTGTAATACGGTGGTGCAGCGTAAGGGTAGGCGGTGGCCGGAGGTGGAGGTTGAGCAGAGGGGTAGCCATTGTGGTTTGGAGGAGGTGCGGCGGTGGCGGGGTAACCGGTAACGGGTCGATTCGGGTCAGCCATGGCGGAGGATATGGAGCATCTGCAGTAGTGGGAGAGTGGAGTGGAAAGTGAAGAAAAGTCGGTGACGAATCTATAAGAGGACGAAAGGAGAAAAGGAC